TGACAGTTGTGTGCGTAGTCTGCCGTTTCGGGGGATCTGCAGGCACTTGTTTAGCCTCGACTGACACAGCGCGCCAGTCGCTTCACTAATAAGTTGGCTCTCGCCTGCCTATGCGCTACTGAGCGCCTCTTCGGTCACCGCCAGTGGTGAGTCGCTCTTGTACGCAGCCTGGCCACAAGTGTGAAGTCGATTGATAAGTTGGTCTTTGCCTCTCGTACAGCTAGACCTAAGTGCTACGGTTTGTTCTTAACGTTGCTGCTGCAATACGGACAGTCAGATGAATACACTGATAGTGAATACGCAACATCAGGCTTCTACTTCGGGAAACTTGAGGCGCTGGCCAAAGCCATGAGCACACCCTAGCCACTACGGCCTGCAGGCCCGGTTCCAAGTTGGAGCTGGGTGAGACGACATTGTATTCTGTACAGCAAGATTAGAGAACAGGTCACAGCAAGTTGGTAACCGGACGAGATCTCAGGTTCGGCACAGCAAGAGCGGGATTCTAAGTTCGTGTGTGTGTGTGTGTGAGGCCGAGGCCTTGGATATTTTATGGGGGTTGGACGCCAGTCAATTCCGCAAGGAGGAGACGCAATCGGTGCGCGCTAGGTATTCTGTAACACGAGATCTCAACCAGTAACCAGATACCTACTGGTAGTTCCCGAGACCTTGAAAGCTTACCTGTGACAAAACTGCGTTTTTAAACCAAGGTACCTTGGTAGGCGCTCCTCTAACTTCTATCCCAGCAACTAGAGACTGGAGTTTGTGTAAGAGAATAAGTCGTTACTCAGAAATGAGGCAGTAGCGAGCTTGTCATAAAATTTTGTTTTAAAATAAATAGTTGGGCGTACATAAAATGTGGGCAGTATAATATGCAAAATACTAGCGCTGTTCAGAACATGATAGATTATTTACACAAATATACATCGCGTTTGGTAAAAGAGAAGGAAACGTATTAATCCTCTAGTGTCAAATCGATCGTGGAAGGGAAGGTTTCATCGGCAGCTGGAGGTGGACGAACAAAAACCTCACCGCTGTAGTCACCTGAAAGGTAACCAGACTGAACGCCAGACACAGTGACCTCCTGAGACTGCGCTGACAAAGGCAGTATGCCCATCTGCGCCGCCGAATTGTCTACCGCGTTGACAGCAACAACATCGGAAAGATCACCATCGTTAAATGTCTCAGTCGGCTTGTTTAGAAGGAGCCGCTTCGTACGATAAGTTGAATTTACAGAGCCATTCCTCATTCTCTTTCCGCGTGCAGCCAGCCCGGCCGGGGTGAGTGTGGAGGACTTGCGAGGATTAGAAGTGAGCGGGACAGTCTCCATGGGGTCGTTTAGCTCATGCTCTTTGGCCCGCATCTTTTGCATGCGATTTTGCCTACCAAGCAAACGTCTGTCGACAACAGAGGACAGGGCGTAAGTTGGCAGCGTGAAGGCAGTAGGAGCACTTGTTTCTGTTCCAGTTTCCGGCATCAATGGAGTCTTGATGGAAACATGCCGTTTGGTACTGGCGTTCAATGTCTCCTCGTTCCCCTTGCTGTCAAACTTCTCGATTTCCGTTTTTGAGGTGAAAGAGGTTGTGGAGGGGAGGTCGGGCGTACTCTCATGTTGAACTTCGTCAACCAAAACCGGTCTTACAGGAGACTCCAGATTGATAACAGGAAGATCTTTATCAGACTCTCGGTCGCAGGGTGAGGGTACTTTTACAGTCGGCTGACCCGGAGGCCATTCGCACAAAAAAGGTAACTCAAACGGGCGACTAAACCAGTCGCTCCTTTGGGAATTTTTTGATCCATAGGGAATCTCCAGTGTCTCTGGAACGGCACCGTTGAGGCGGCTAAATGTCTTGCGTCCCTCCTGATCAGCCAGACGCAGTATAATGTTCGCCATGTTGCGAGCCACAGGAGGCAGTTCCACGTTATTCACAGAACGGGACCACTTCTCCACCAGGTCAAACTGGTACTGCAACATAGTTGTCATTAGCTTTATATCGTGATCAGCACGACAATCCACCTCCTCATCCTGCAGGTTTCCTCGGAAGGAGGGAAGCCATAATTTGGTCAGGTTGTTGCGTGTTTTATGTAGACTGCATCGGAAATCTTTCAACTGAACCAGCAACTTGTTCATTTCGTCAAGCAGACCAGGCTGTTTCAACACAAGGAACTGCGCCTTGCACACTTTCAAGACATCACGGTAGCCACTGCACCAGAGGTTGGGGTTTTCGGTAACGGTACGATCCAAGAAATTCAGTGTCGACAGCCCGGTATTCATAAGCCAACAGGCATTATTACTTCGTGACGAAACACACTGCGTCTGCAACTTGATGCCGCGCTTCGAGCGGAACATAACAAGATCATTCATCACGACCCATACGAGATGATTGTAGGCACCAGACACGGCAAACAACAGTCGCAGCAAGCTCGGAGTGAGCTCCTCCCGCAAAATGCGCGCCACGTTTTGCCGAGCATGGACGGCAGAGTCGAAGAGACGAGAGCGGCCCTCATCCAGGGGATTAACAGCGTTACCGTGGGAACAACAGAAGTTGATCGTTCTCGACACGCCGTCCGAGGAGCTATAAGCAGCGGCGCAACGCAAGCGGTGCAGGGCAGAGAGACAGGCCCCGGCCGAGACTAAAGAGGCATAAGAGTTCCGAAGTCTGGCGAGGCAGTCTGCAACTGCACTGTGTATGTCCTTTAAATGGGTAAAAAGGGTGCCACGAATGATACCGGTACCTGAAGGGGACTCTTCGCGCAATAGGCGCAGCCCCAGTGAAGGGTGCAGCAAAAAGAGATGAACGTACAGACGTCGAAACACTCGGCATATCAGACCGATGCCACCGAGAGCTTTTGCCTCATCTTTCATGTGGAGAGCACGACTTAAGAAAATAAGACGGGTGGGTACAAACTCAGCCAGGCGCAGCAAGGCTGATTCAGCCATGAAATCAACGTTGGCACCAGAGTGAAGGGAGAGAAAAGTATTTAGACAGCTGGGAATGATTTCATCACGACTGGCAAAGCCGGTAGACGAGGAATCTGGCTCAATTGGTGGAGAAGCAACCTGAAGAATAGTGTCACACAATTCTGCTGGCGTACAACAAAGATTCCAGGATGTGCCATCCACACCCTTAAAGCGGGCCTTATTGACCCACCGCATGAGTGCCTCGAGCATACTCTCCGGAGGGCAAGGCACAACTTGCAGCAAGCGAAGATCCCGTAGGCATGATTTAGGACTAAATAGTTGTGGCCAGTTGTGCGGAGGATCCCTCAAACCATCTGGGGTCCGCACTCGAATCGATTCTAACAGAGCTGCACGACACTGCTGCTGACAGACGGTGAGATACAATTTTGCCACGTCTATTGTGCTTGAGTCCTGGCTTCGGATGGCCAGGGCAATGAGCCTGATGGCATCGCCGGCGAGAAGTACGAGATGTCGCCTGGAAAAAGCCAAAGTGGGGTAGAGGTAAAAATCACAAAAATGGTCAAGACTCGTAGACATGCACAATACCAAGATGGGACTCGCCACAGGATGACAGTCAAATTAAGATATGAGTAAAACGCAACGAAAAACACCTCCAAATGGCGAACATCACGTTGGGGGCATTGCAGTAGTTATGAGCACGGTATATAATAGAGAGCCGCCTCATGTACCATGGCGCCGGGGCTTCATTGCCAGTTACGCTGATCGTATTTGCCAACAGTACCACCCCTACTGTTTTTTTCCAATTGATTTCCGACTGATGATGAGTACCCCCTGTAGCGTCTTAAGCGCTTATTTGCTGTCCGCCTCTGACACCGATGTCACGATTCGAATCATGTGATCATGACTCCCGAGCGGTAAGAACATGCGCGCATGCAGCCTCTGGAACATCCAATAACGAGCGCCCAAAAACTCCTAAATCCCTCAATTAACGCACCAGGTAGGCACTGACTGAATCTCACATGACACATGAACGGGAGTGCGTGCAAGCCCAGAGCCGGCCGCGAGTCAGAATGCAAAGGAACTTGTTTAATAGGATTAGTAGACTGGCTGACGTTAACCCCATTTTTAGTTACAATAGCCGGTCTGCCTTAAGAAATGTTAACCCTAATTCTGAAATGTGTTTTCGACTAAAAAGGATAGCCTACGTAGGGTCGCAGTATTGATTAAAGTGCAGCCTAATTCCAAGATATTCCAGTCATATTGACCCAACTGTGAAAAACTCGGCGCCTCTGTGGGATTCGAACCCACGCAGTAAGGGGAAGGCTTTAGCGCAGCCAACGCTCTAACCACCTGAGCTACGAGGATGCTAGATGTTGAATGCGCTTCTTTTGAGTGTGTGCAAGAACCACACGGCAAGAATGGCGGTTGGGCGAGAGAATATGGACCCCACCAGTGCTACAGGCGTCCTTGCCCTGAATTCCGGGGAGGTAGTTAGAGTTAGCGTTAGGATTATGGTTAGGAAGATTAGGATTAAAGTTAGGTCACACGAATAGAAACCCCTTGGAATTTAGCGCGAGGCCACCTGTGGGGGGGGGGGGCACGTTCCCGTGTACTGTCAAAATGACTACCTTAGTGGTATGAATTCTCTTCATTGGTTTTCGGCACGGTTATAAATTACAGTAAATTTCATGGAATGCGCGGACAAAAACATTTTCCTTGTACTCATTTGCTACGAAATTACGTCTTTCTCAAATTTAATTCTCGAAGAAGAAGAAGAAGAAGAAGAAGAAGAAGAAGAAGAAAGAAGAAGAAGAAGAAAGAAGAAGAAAGAAGAAGAAGAAAGAAGAAGAAAGAAGAAGAAGAAGA